ACAGAATGGTAGACTATGCAAGACATAATATCTGACCTGTGCAGTTCAGATCGGAATATCTGTCCCTCTGGAACCCGCCCATAGGCGGCAACTCGGCAAGCCACGTCTTACCGCCCAATGGGTGGGTACCCTCTGGCCGGATGTTTCGATGCAAACCGAAACATATTTCAGATATTATTACTCCGATATGTAAGAAATCGATGATCCAAACAACACAAAAACATTAGAGAATATTTGTCTACTTCATTCATTGCCAGTCAACATGTTTCTTAATCAAATTTCTAACCGATCCAAAATCTTCATTGATATTGGTTTAAACATATTTATTCCCAATAGTATATATAATGTACATTCAAATAATAAAAAGAATCAATTTTAATGTACCAGGTGCATTTGTGATAGAATCTATCTCAATTTGTGCACATAATCACAAGAAATTCGAGCTGGGGTGCATTATATAATTTGGAATCGTCCTTTCTTTGCAATCCATTTTCTGCTGAAATTTGCGTAATGGATTTGTCCTTAAATATTTTGTTGGTCAATTTTTGAGTTGAGGAGTTTATGTAAAATAAATACATGTTAAAGTATCATAAGCTTTATATCTGAACGGACTACTAGTATATGGTACAATGTTAAGTTGATATGGATGATATTACTGTCATTTTAGTCACTAAGCGCAAACAGGTCTAAAATAAAACAAAACCAAAATTCTTCTGAATTGATACTACTTTATTCATCATGCTATCACTATAAATAAAAGTGATTACAAAATGTACCTGTTAATTTTACTGTTATTATTCTTCTATAGCATCTAGAAAATACAATTAATTTATAATTAAACAAAAACTTGAATGTAAGCTCTTTTTTAATTCTTTATTGGAGGTCCAACCCTTAACCTGCTGAATTTAAGTATTAGGCTTCGCCCAGCTTTGAATTTGGAACAGTCCATTCTAAGTTTAAGGGAAATCAATATTAACTTACAAAAAATAAGCTACTTGTATAAGCAAGTTAAGAGACCGGTCAGACTGCCCAGATGTGCTTGGTTTTATACTGACCAGTTTTGGTTCCAGCAGGTTAAAGGTTAAAATTAGTAAGCCAACAGAAGGTTTGAGCCCGGTCAGACTGTATGTAAGTGCCTACTGGCCTGGCACTACACTGGTGACAAAAGCTAACAGAAGGGTAAGGGTTAAATACACTGAAATTAATATTTCAAGTGAATGGCAGTCGACGCTCTAAAATTGCATTTAATTTCATCAGTAATTCATCTTTTTTCCCCACATTATTTGCATTTCAACATTGGGTAGCTGCCTAGAACACAAAAATAATAATGTTAAAATGTGTATTCTATGAGCTAGTACATTAGATATATCTGTATAATAAATACAGCTAAACATAGGGCAGGAGAAAAATTTCTTACGATCTCTACATAAAGAAACTAAACTCTAGTGAAAAATTCCACGAACACATAAATAAATTATGCATATTTTTTCATAAATAATCAGACACAATGGCTTGCCGATATAATCTTCAGGCAAAAGTTCATGAAAGCCTTTTAAAGGGATATTCAGGCAAAATAATGACAAAAATATTAAAAAATATTAAAATGATCTTATGTACTAAAATCAGGCTAAAATGACGTTTCTTGAAGTTTCAGCATTAATTTCTGTTTGAATTTTATATATTTTGGGTTTGAAACGTAAATATATCTATATATGTTGAACAAAATTTAGACGCCAATAGAATCACCAAATAGTTTTAAAACAAGTCAGGTGACTTGAACAAACCCTTTAAGTTACAATAACAGATATTTTGCATATTGTATGATTGAAACAAGTCTATGTCATTCATTTGAAATGTTCTTTAACGTTTCCAGAGTTCATTTTGACAAATATTGCGAAATCATAGCGCTCTAACCTGACCCACGCGGGTCAAGTTAGGAAACCACTATTTTATTCTTTATATGGAGAAATGTTTTGTTCCATTGACCGTCTAATATATTCATTTTAAGGGCATTTACAGATTAATGAATGAAAAATTCAAAACTAAGAAATGAAAATTTTGCCTGTGTCTCCCTTTAAGACAAATCAGTAAAATAATATATTAATAAAACTTCTACACCGATAGATCAAATTTATTTATTGCAAACTTATATTTTTTAAAGTTGAACAATTAAAAAAATATTTTTCTTCTTTAATTAAGTAATACGCAATATATAAACATTTTCATGTTTGTATAATTTCATAACACTAAGGCTGTCATGTTCATGCAGGCATAGCATTAATAAACAATCAATTAACATGCTGAATTCTATATAAGAACTAGAAAATGACCATGTATGAGAATGAATCCAATAAATTAAATAAATACTCGAAAGATAATTTCTAAATAAGACTGAGTGAGTGAGCACTGGTTAAAAATATCAAAACAATACTATTTTGAATAAACATTAATCTTTTTTGTTATAAAAGCACACTAGAATTGTTGTATATTTAAAGTGACATTATGCTCATTTTTTATTTGCTGTCAAATTCAATTAAATTAGTAATATTTTTCAAAAGATTGACTTTTGTAATAGTGATTGGCCAATAATTGTTAATAAAAAATGTTCAGGATAAAATAAAAAAAATACTTAAATTATAAAAAGACTGTTCATCTCTTTTCAAAAAATGAAGCCTCAATACCTTCCAAACGATATTTATAAAAAATTCCATGGGTCCTGTTGATTATTCTTGCATAGTTTAATATAAAATTGAGCACAATCATTGCAAAATGTGTAAAGTAATTTCATTTACTCTCTGTAGGTATAATGTCACTTTAACTATATATGAATAATCATTAATGGCATAATGTAATTTAAATTATTCACATTTTTGCATATCATCACCTTAGTGGACAATAACTGGTTTACTTCTATTAACTTTAACTGGTTTACTCCTATTAACTTTAACTGGTTAACTCCTATTAACTTTAACTGGTTAACTCATGTTAAATTTAACTCCTATTAAATTTAACTGGTTAACTCTCATTAACTTTAACTGGTTAACTCCTATTAACTTTAACTGGTTAACTCCTATTAAATTTAGAAGGACTTAAGCAGATAATGCACTAAGGTGATGATATATATATAGACATAATCACCGGAAGACAACACAGTTTTAAATTAAAGGCAGTATTACCTATAAAACACATCATGCCCTGGCTTTTTGAAATTTATGAAAGTACATGTAAACAGAATAAAGATATGTATGTACTATATGTCTATATGAATAGCCTTTTTCAGACTATTTCAGGTTCTCAATCCAAGTGTTTATTTGAAAATGATGTTCCAAAAAAGTTCAGCATTAGGATTATCTCCCTTTTACATTTTACCTTGTAATGAATTATGAAACAACAAAAAAATTCTGTAGATGAACACTACAGCAAGATTTTTTTCATTGAAAAAGATAAAATAAAGTCCAAAGTTTTCTTTAAAATTCTGTTTGATTTCAGATTGAAATAAGGTTATTATTTGCTTCTTTCCAGCACTTTTATTATTGCCTTTAACTGAAGTGCTGCTTTCAAAGTGAAATGAAACATAAATTCTGAGAGCAAGAGGTAAATTCTTTGGCAGTAACAGGGTATTTTAACAGAAATATTTAGAGTCCCTGGCAAGAAGTTAATGTAATCTATTTAAATAACAATATTCTTAATAAAATATGTGACATTTATGGATGGATAACAAGATATTGGCAGTCAGTGAAAGTAAAGTTTAACAATAATTGCTATATATATAACTAACATGGCACCCGTCAAGCACTTAACTATTCTTCATAACAAATTATCCTGTAACAACGTCAACACTTTTTTCATGCACAACAAATTTACATGTAAAATATGCTTTATAAAGAACAAACAGACATATAACTTATAATTGTAAATGAAATATATAATAGTTTGATGTCATGAAAATGCATTTTTTTGTCTCCTTTAAAGCTGCATGCCTCCAGATGAGCCAACATATTTAAAGGAAAATAAACTTGACAAAATGTACTTAAATCTTAAGAAAAGTAAAACGATTCAAGATTCAAGTTATAATTTAAATGTCATGTGTGATTAATGACTGATTTTGTGTATTTTTCACCTGACTGACATAGTAAGGGCTTTTTTTGTGCGTATTTTGACCTCTTTTGGTAATTTATGTGGATGGTAAGCACTGTTTGCAATGAATAAATTACATGTTTTTGTTAAAATCATAATATTTTACTTTTAGATACATTTTCAAAATTAGCATGGATTTGGAGGCATGCTGCTTTAATGTCCACAGATAAAACAAGAGTCCTCAATTATCTTCCTTTTTCACTATCCAAATACATTGTATAAATAAACAAAGATAAAACTAACTTGATTCAACCAAGTCAGCAACATTTTCATTTTTCTTTGTTGTATGATCTTTATGGTTTTCTTTTCTTTCTTAAATAATCTGATCGCAGACAGAAAATATGCAAAAAAGAATTGAACGCCTAAGATTTAACCTGCTAAATGTGTATAATGGATTTGCCTAGTATTGAATTTAGAACAGTCTATTTGGATTTTAAGGGATTTCAAATACAAAATTCGAAAGCTGAGGTATCAACAATATAGAGCCTGGTCACACTGCATGGAACTGCACACTAGCTTTGCTCTACACTGGTGGGATAAGTTATTAATCATTTTCAGTTCAATCACTGGTTAAAGGTTAAGATGCTCAACCAGGCAACAGCAAACCAAATATTATCACCTTTTGCTTCCAGGAGATTATGGATGAGTTCCTAAACCAGACTATTATTCCCTTCAAACTCAGCAGACTGGTTATAGCAATCCATTAATAAATAAAGCTCATTCATTATATCATCAGTCTATACAGAATTTACTTACTACATACATATACATGTATAAACATGCATATAGAAGTAATGAAAACAAAATTCAGGTATACATCAAGAAAAAAAATTTTGCCTTCACCAATTAATAAAGCTATGCTTTCATCAAACTGTATATTATTACAAACTGTTAAGCCCACAAACTGATATGACGCTGGAAAAACAAACACAAACTTAACCTTCAAAATCCACTAATAAATAATATTATATAAAAATCATAAAAAAAACAACACAAAACAATTGCATAAAAATTGTTCAAAACAAGTTATAAAACCAATTTCCTTTTTTACGTAAAAAAGAAATGTCTACATTTTCTAAACATATAATATTCTTTAAGAAATAAGTAAGACATAAAGCTGATTTAAGTTTTAACTTTCTGATATGTTACTCTCGAAACATGCCATTTTCTGTTTAAAATTGTTGGCATAATACATTGTACATGTACAATAACTTCTTAAGGAATGTCCAAGTTTTGTACAAAACAAAATTAATGTCTTAACAAAATTTTTAAGCTTTTTAGTATAAAAGAAGCCTGAGCAATTTCGGTCAGCAGCATAAAATTATTAAAACCTGGAACAGAGTCATTTGTATAAAATTTAAATAAACTAGTAATATAATATAGATAATGCTTATGTCTATAAATAGAATAATACATGTATATGCACTGTAGTTATAGTTACATCACAGAAAGAGAAAAGTCACAACTTTAACCAATAAGAATCAGTCTAACATGTCAACAATGAATATTAAGCCAATGAAATCAATCATAACAATAACTTCATTCTAGGCCAATCAAAAGTCAGTCATGTGACCTATAGTTAGACCAATCATTAACTCTTGTTGATTCCCTGTGAAACCTGCAGTTTGCCATCTTTGTCTAATTCCAAGGTTACTGGGGGCTGAAAACTTTGACCTGATACAATGCTATTCAAGCCCTGAAATAAAAGAGGGTAATAACATGTATGAATGTTATAATATTATAAGAATCTAACACTGTCTGTTGCTTAATTCTGGCTATCAGAGTATCTGGCTCTAACTGCTTTATGGTTATATGGCAAGAGTGGTGGAAGACCTCAGGTGCACCTATGCGCCCTATTTTTGGCAACAGCAGGCCCCTGATTAGAACCAGCTGTCCGGTTAGCTCAAAAGGTAGAGCGTTGGACTGTGAATCGAGCGACCCTGGTTCAATTCCCGAACGGCGCGGTTCACTTTCTTTAAGATTGATCATGAAAACTTTTCTACAGTCATTCGCACTGCAACCTGCTCTGGTATGTACAGAAGTAATCAGTTCCTTGCAAAAATGAAGGCATCTAGTAAATTACTGGTAAAGTGCTTGACAGCTGTTTTGACAGTGGTGGATGAACTGTGATTGGGTAAATTCAATGTGGCTTACTACCGTGATCTGGAGGGAAAACTACCAAGACCACCACCACCTGATTAGAACCACCAAGCTTCTGTAAGCTAGTTTGATAACTTCCTCACATGAAATAACTCCTCTTACATCTTGCATTTTAATTATAGTTGGAAGAAAATATGAAAAACAATGTTTTTATTTAGTTTTTCTTCTGATGGAATTGAAATTTATAACTACATTTACTACATTCACAGCAGTGGAATGCTGTCATCTTAAGGCTATTAACTTTAACATAAAGGTGGTGGAATGCTGACACTCATATAACTCATTTTCTAGTAATTGACACTTGATGCACAAGTTCATGGATATAAGTACATTGTATGAGGATTATAAAATATAAATTTTTATTTTGTAACCATTAATGAAATAAGCTTTTAATCCGTGAAAACCTACCTCACCAGAGTATGACACCAGTGGTGAAACTTCACATACTATTTCATTGAATTCTTCACATGTTCTCTGGCTGTAAAAAAGTAAAAGAAAAAAATATATACATGTGTAAAAATGCTGCATGCCTTGTGACAATTTTAATGACTTTAAAGGGAATCCACAGAGGTTTTTTGACATGGCAGGATTAGTATTCTAGTTGATGTAGGTCTACATCAATAACTTGTGTGCACAATTTCAGATCATTTGCTCACTCAGTTTTTCCCAGAATATTTATTCTAATAGTGAAAAAGACCTAAAATTTTAAAGAGTTGAACACTTTTCACTCAAATTGGGCTAAGAATAGCACAAAACACAATTTTCAACTTATTTCCAAGTCTATTTCTCTTTTATTTTTTGCATATCACCTTGTTTAAATGCCCCAGATGGTCTAAGTTAGTAAGAATTTCAAATTTTATGTTTTTAGGCTTTTGGAGCTCAGTGGAGTGCCTTTAAGGTAAACAAACATTTGGCTAGATAAAGATATCACTAGACACCAGAAATAGACTGATGTTTTCATTAACCAGGTGATTTTTTTTTTATTTGCTTGACATCTTGAAGGATAGCAGCTGGTTATATACAAAGAAAGCGTTGTACACACAGAATCTTATTTATTAACTACAATAAACCTGAACTAACAAAACATGTTTAACCATATTGATTTAACCAGGTTTAGCTAAACAGGCAAACTTGAATTGTTCTCTTTTTCTTTGTTTTAAACACTTGAAGTTACAAAACTATTTTCTTCTCTAATTTCAAAACTATGAATGTTAATTACCCGCCCAAATTAAAACACTGTATTTACAGTAAAGAGTTTGATCAGATTGGACAGTAACGTAGGCTGTCTCTTTACTGTTAACCCTAAGCCTGCTTGTACCGAAAGGTTATCAGTCTTTGCTGTCAGTATATAGCAAGGCCAGCCCACAAATCTGCATGCAGTCTAACCGGGCTCTATACTAATGGTGGACTAACTTTTAAAATTTTCATCTTGTTATCAATCCCTAAAATTGATAATAAACAAGTTCCGAAAATGAAAAGCTGGACAAGTCCATTCCACAAAGTCAGCAGATTAAGGTTCAATATGGTAAAGGTCTGTAATTATTATAGCTGTAAATTAGAGACCTAGTGATGACTTGTATTATTAGAGGGAATCACAAAGACTTACCCATCTCCTGCCTCTGCTTTGTTCCTATTACTGAAATAACAACAATAACAACACCATGCAGGTAGGATATCATGCAATATGTGATAAACAACATAATGTATAATTATAGATCTTTGATTTGTATGTATAAACTTATTCTTTCTTAGGAAAGACATGCAATTTTTCAAAGCTATTAAAATATCTGACCTCGGCAATCAACATTGGGTGTCTCTAGGTTTCTGTCTGTATTTTTTTCTGTTGTTGTTTTAAGTATAAAGAACATAACATATGTTTCAGGATAATGAAACCTAAACAACATAGAAATATCACGTTCAAAATGGCATCAAAGATCAGGTACCAGTGCAATTTAATAGCCATAACATGATAAATCGTAGGACTTCCAATTTTATCTTACTATTTTTTATGGAGCTGGATTTACTTTCTTAATTTACTTCTTTCAATATAATTTCCAAACATGATAAAAGATTCTATAACATTTCAACATTATTGGGGTTTTTACAAAATGTGGTACAATAATATTTATGATTTTTGTAACTACACAAAATCAAAGATCAAGCATAAAGCATTAGTTAAAAAGACAAAAAGGTATGTTAGAAAAACAGTGAAGAATAAACAACAACAATATAGATGTATAATTATAAATGTATTTTTATCTTGCATTGTGCATCTACAATATTATGCTTAAAGTGATACAGGACAAACATACAAGGGATGTTTGAAAAAAAAAAACAGACAGGAATTTAACAAGTAGAATGTTCCAGAATTCAAGAAAATAGACATGAAATTCAATCATTCAGATCATTTACCATGCAAGCATCTCACATTAAATGATTTTGTCAAATTGACATTGTTCTAGTCTTACAAGAATCTTACACCAACTGCCGGTACAGACCAGAATATCTAGTTCGAGGGGATCTGTTACAAAGGTGTAACAAGGCTCTACAGAGTTTTTACTAAGCAGTTAACTGAGAGCTAGATATTTCTGTCTGTGACAACAGTTGATACTTTTTTATTTGCGTATTATATATACTTTAGAATGAAATGACAAAACTAATATTTTAATTTTTATTATTAAGTTTATGTTGTATCAGGTATCATTGATTGCCTAACTTTTTTTCTCCAAAAAATCCAATTACCAAATATACACAAAGAAATGAATAAATTTCATTTGACGGAACAAGAAAATTTCAATATTGTGTAAAGTACCTACAAAGGATCATTATCAATACTTTATCTGCAATTTAATGCTTAAAAACAAAATCTACATATTTTCTAAACATTCCTCTTGAATGCATAGCCTTTCAGTTTCTTATATAACTTAATGACAATATGAAAAAGATGGATGGACATATCATGCCTGTCTTAACAATAACTTAAACATATAATATTAAAACATTTACCTTGGTATGTGAGGGATCTCCGATCCATCTTTATGAACAAACTTTGCCCCGGCTTGAAGCATCATACGACGATGTAGGCTACACAGATCTTGTCTGCAGGTGGTGGGTGTGTCTTTCGCGGCGCCATCTGCATTCTTCAAGGGGGAGAACTCATCCTCTCTTAGTACTTCCCATACAGCAAAGCTCCTGTCACATTTAACACAAACACAAAACAAACAACAACAGGGGAACCAGACAACATGCCAAAGAACAATTGTTTTACAGTTTTGTTACAGTGGGAACCAGGCAAAAAGTAACAAACATTCAAAGAACAATTGTTACACAGTTTTGTTACAGTGGGAACCAGGCAAAAAGTAACAAACATTCAAAGAACAATTGTTACACAGTTTTGTTACAGTGGGAACCAGGCAAAAGTAACAAACATTTAAAGAACAATTGTTACACAGTTTTGTTACAGTGGGAACCAGGCAAAAGTAACAAACATGCCAAAAACAATTTTTACACAGTTTTGTTACAGAGGAAACCCGAGGCAAAAGTAACAAACATGCCAAAAACAATTTTTACACAGTTTTGTTACAGAGGAAACCAGGCAGAAAGTAACAAACATTAAAAAAACAATTGTTACACAGTTTTGTTACAGTGGGAACCAGGAAATAAGTAACATACATGCCAAAAACATTATAATGTATCATTAAAACAACAGAAATCAATATTGCATCGAGAATTTTTTTAAAGTTGCATGATTATTTCATGCCATTAATGTACATGTGTATAACATGAATAAACAAGTATTCATATGTACATCATTGATTATAGTGAAACAATGGACAAAAAATCCCCAAAGAATGCAAATATATTAAGATTCAAAATATGTGACATTGTGCAAGTAAAGGTAACAAAATGCATTTTATATGAATGAAATAGATATGAATGAATTGCATTAGTTGAGAAAGTGTTTGATAACGAGAAAAAATAATTTTTGCAGACATATTGTTTTTTTCAAGCAAAATAAGCATTTGCATGACATAAAAGCATATTTGATAATAGTTAGTTTTAATGTAAGAGGCATGCAGTATGGTAGTGGTTTTTAGTAGATAAGGTAAGATAATTTGGTTATTGAGTTAAACAAGTCAGGCAAGCAATCCACACCAGAATAAATAAGAGAAGTTTAAAAACATGCACAAGATTTGTGATTTACAAGCAAAACACACACACACAAGCACACACAAATAAACCAGACAAACACAAAACACAGAGGGGAAAAAAAAGAAGCAAAAAAGCACCATGTTAGTATTTATAGATTCAAACTACAAGAATATTGGTAACACCAAAAGATACATCCCTATATCAATTAAACAGATTTAAAACTATAGCTTCATTACAAAAGTATAGACTATCACACCAAATAGCAAAGTCCTCAGTAAGTTAAAAAATTTCCCATGAGAAATAGTTATTAGTGTACAGTATTGAGAAAATTTAACCAGCTAATTCATGTTGCACCAATTAAAAAAATATCTGGAAGAATATAAATATTATCCAAAAGTGTAAAAGATGACCAATGTCCAAGAAAGTCAATTCAAAGCCTTTAATGAGACACAGAGCTGAAATTTTAGAGTGCACCAACACCAAAATATAGTACTTGCACAGCTTATAAATAAATAATTGTATTATATTATTTAGGCATTAATAAATAATGACTATTGCAATCAATTTACTCTATTAAATCTCCCAATGTTTTAACCTTACATTTATCAAACCTGAATTTAATTATACATTAACATTTAAATGAATTATGATGATACTCGAAAAAAAGAAGAAGAAAAAAGCTTGATAAATATTATTTGGAACAGCTTCTGGCAAAAATAAACATGAGCCCTTAGTGTAACTTATAAAATATATAAATATAAACACTGCACTAGAGTCTGTAAGACTTTTTATTGAAAAAAGTACTAAACTGATATGATGCAAAACCAAATTAAAGCGAAACCATCTTTTTGTTAGTTTAAGCTATTAGATAGAGCTTTGCTAATAAACTAAGCTCAAGAAGACAGAAGACACTATGTTCTATATTAAGCAAATATAGGCATGATTGCGCGTTTTTTATCATAATCACTGTCTCACAATGGTCAACTGCTTGAAAATCAACAATTTACGTCACTTTAGTGCAGTAAGAGCTTAATTCCTTCTAATAGGAGTTAACCAGTTATTGCAATAAAGTGACAAATATTGCATTTAAATACTTGGATAATCAACAAATTAAATTATTAACCTAATGAAAAATATACTGTTTTTTTTTTTTTGCATTTCTTATAATCAAGCTCCAAAACCAAACAAAAAACATTGATTTATAAAATGCTTACAGTATCCCTGGTGATATAAAAAACATTCTTTTTTTAATTTAGTTACCATAGTTAATGCACATTTATATTAATTTCTTTTTCTATTTCTACTATTTTTAAACAGCTGCACACACACATAAATATGTTTTGAATACATACAAGCAAGTGAACAGAAAGAAAAATTAATGACAGCTGTGCTAAAAAAGCCATGAAAAATTAATGAAAGATTTTGATGAATGAGGTTCCATCTTCTATGATATGTTATTGCAGTATTTTCTTTTACAAGTACAAACCTTGGCATGTTGCTTTAAATGGAATTTAAAAGGGCCAGTTTTAATATATAAACTCTTACCTAAACTAAGTGAAAACATATAATACTCAGTTCAAGGTTATCAACTTATGGACAAAATTGTATATTTAGACATAAAGAACCATTAGATTTGTTTGTGATTGACATGCTGCAGATACATGTATCCAGGCTTTTCTGTCACCTTGACTAATGGCGTTCAGGTCATTGGGCGACAGTCAAGATTTACATTTGGGGAAAGACATAACAAACAAATCAGTATACTATTTCTAATATGAATGGGCATTTGAGTAGAATCACAGACCTTCCATAAGTTCACTGGATTGTTTCATCACATGAAATAATTCAACATATATGATAAAATCATCGGGCCTACAATTTGCTCCAAATGACATTGATCTGTAACAGCTGGACAGAGATGCCTCGTGCCATCTGCTCAGACTTAAGACTTTACTGTATTTTGGCAATAAATATATAATCAAATATACATTCTTAACCTTCACAATTGCTTTAACAAACCTTTTCTAATACTTACGTCGCAAACCGTAAAACATCAAAGACAAATTTTTCCATTTTTATGCCATTTGGTTCAGTGGGTTTGATAATTTCACCAGCACTGTTAACATACGGGATCTTCTTCTTTGCAATATGATGTTGTAATTTAGATTCTGTACTAGGACTGTAAGTGTTAAGAACAACATATTTATAACATAATACTTTAAACCCTCAGTCTCCTGGTTGCAACTGAAAATAGCATCATACCATGTAAGAATTTCCTCGTATGATTTGAAAACCACAATGTTTAAATTAAACATTAACCCTTATAAAGCTGAATATCTTAAATGGACTTGTCTATCTAGCATTGTAAGAGAAACGTTCAAAATACATGCATGTACTGAGTGAATAGCAAACAAGGGTGCCATAGTCACAAAATACGCCCGTTTACGAAAAAGCTTTAGATGGAGATGGGGGCATTATGGATAAGTGTTATCTAGCAAGAAAGTTTTTATTCTTGGCACTGTGTTGTTAAATGAACCTTAAAACAAATCAATAGGGAAGATATGCACAGAATGTGTGACCTTGACCTTGGTCGCAGGGACCTGAATTTTATGCACGGCACTCAGCCTCACAATGATGAACATTTGTGCCAAATTATATTGAAATCCCTCTATGCATGTAGAAGTTTTGCTCCAGACAAGTGTTTTTCTATGAGCTCTAACTGTGACCTTCACCTTTGACCTAGAGACTTGGTTTATGTGCAGGGCACTACGTCTCATGGTGGTGAACAATTCTATAAAAGTAACATTAAAATTCCTCCATGCATGTAGAAAATATGCTCCGGACAACATCTGAATATTTAATCATCTCCAGTGACCTTGACCTTGCAAATATTAACCTAAATTAAATGTGTAACACCTGTAGTCATGATAGTTACCATTTGTGCTACAATCCATCAATAAATGATGACTAAATGGTCCCTATAACCATCTTCAAATTTTTATCTGAACTTTGACCTCTATGTGTAACCTTGACTTTGGTCGCAGGGATCTGAATTTTGCATGCGACACTCAGCCTCACAATGGTGAACATTTGTGCCAAGTTATATTGAAAACCCCCTATGAATGTAGAAGTTTTGCTCCGGACAAGCGTTTTTCAATGAGCTCTAAGTGTGACCTTGACCTTTGACCTGGATCATGCATGGAGCAATACATATCATGGTGGTGAACATTTCCATAAAGTATTATAAAAATTCTTCCATACATGTAGGAGATATGCTCCAGACAAAATCTGGATATTTCACCATCTTTAGTGACCTTGACCTTGCATATATTGACCTAAAGTACATGTGTCACATCCGTAGTCATTATAATGACCATTTGTGTTACAATCCCTCAATAAATGATGATTAAATCGTCCCTATACACATCTTCATATTTTTATCTTTTTTTAAACGGGTGTATAAAAAGTACATGTAATGTAATAACTAAAAAATTCTGATTTAAGATTTTATTCTAGGGAAATACATTTCATTACAATTCTTAATCTTTGAATGAGCTGAACTGATATTTACTTGAAAATCAAAATATAATTAAATTTCTATGAGAAAGTATTTACATTTGATAAGGTAATTACTGTATGATCTTTATGAACAAATACCAAGTCTACAGAACACCATAGTTATCACAGTTAAGAATCTTGACCAATGAATGAAACATGTGTAAATAAATGTTACATTCTTTAGAACATACTCAAGTCCAAGAAAGAGGATTATTTCATGCCCTTTGATTAAATTCTATTTTTAGAATTGAAAGTGAAAATAGATCAAGGGGAGTAATTGTGTAAGTCATTTATGAACAAAGTAATAACTTTGTTGTCTCCCTTTGATTAAATTCTATTTACAAAATCTGGATATTTCATCATCTTTAGTGACCTTGACCTTGTATATATTGACCTAAATTATATGTATCACAGCCATAGTCTTGATAATGACCATTTGTGATTCAATCCCTCAATAAATGATGACTAAATGGTCAGAATACACATTTTCATATTTTCATCTGAACTGTGACCTTGACCTTGGCCGCAAGGACCTGAATCTTGCACGCGACACTCCGCCTCACAATGGTGAACATTTGTGCCAAGTAATATTGAAATCCCTCTATGCATGTGGAAGTTTTGCTCCGGACAAGCATTTTTCAATGAGCTCTAAGTGTGACCTTGACCTTTGACCTAGAGACCTGGTTCATGTGCGCGACACTGCTCCTCATAGTGGTGAACATTTATATGAAGTTTCATTAAAATCCCTCCATACATGTAGGAGATATGCTCCGGACAAAATTGGACGCCCGCCCGCCCGACCGCCCGCCCGCCAGGGGCGTTCCCATAATACGTCCTGTTTTTCAAACGGGCGTATAAAAAGGGCAGTTTATGATCAATGGCACAGATTTATTGCCAATAACAGGCATAGAATGTATTTGTTCTATATCACCAATGAGAAAAAACGAGGATGACAGATGTCCAGGCCCTGCACTGTATGTTATCCAGAATAATAAAGACAACAATGGCTTGGCTGGGTGGTTTATGTATCACACTACTAGTCTAAAGAATCCTGGCAACGTTGGTTCAAATCCTATCAGAGGCAAACCGTTGTTTCAATAAGCAAGAATTTTTGCACTGATTGATCAGTACTGACTGGTTCAAGGAACATATTTAAAAGTGTTTACTAGGCTTAAAGCTTACAACACAATCAATCTAAAACTTTTTTTATAAACTAACTAATAAAAACAATGTTTCAATTAGCAACCTTTTGGCAAAGAAATGATATAAATTCCAACTTGTGTCTAAATAGCAGGAAAGTTTAAAACTATTTCTTATTGTTATATTTTCTACCTTTTACCAGCTTAAAAATAAAAGCCTTTCAAACAAAAAATTTTACTTTGTTATATTTTATGTCTTACAAGCTACACAAACTCATGGGATTTCCTTTATAAGAAACACGACAACCATAAATAGTAGAAAAGTTCCTCACTCTGTTACTGTCTTCAGAAAGTCCATGGTAAAGAAGTGGTTACATATATTTCCAGCATTGAATGTAAGCCGTCCATCAGAATTCCGTTTTTCAGCAGTTTTTAGGGTAATCTCGCTGTATTCAACAACTTCATATCTTCCCTCAACTTTACATACCACACCTACTGGTTCTGTTGGGATTGATTTTTCAACTGCCTAATACAGGAAGACAAAATATTTTTCATACTAAAACAATAAATCAATGTATGAATTAAATACATTATTGTTGTATTATCCCCAAATATAATTTGTCAATTTTTTTTTAAATGTACAGATATTTATTGACAAAATCTTTTCCAAGATTTACTTAAACATTTATTTACACCACTGAGAAAACCTAGTTCATGTCTAATTACTATGTAGAACATTTGAAGATAGACAGAATGACTTAGACTTTACCTTGACCATAATCTGTTTCAATTGTTTCATCTTCACATTCACAAGGTAACGGACATGAATATCCATTATAAAGTCTTGGATGTCAAAATGAACAAAAAAATCAAAAGGGGAGATACTTATAAAAGAAATAACTTACTTTAACTCCACAGTTAGCTCCCTTGTTGAGACAGAATCCTATAAACACTGGATCTGCCATTTTAGCTAGAATATTATCTACACAATAAACGTGTACATATTTGATTCCCCTTGATTCCATGTCTGCTAGAACTGTACTGCTTGTCAAAGCTTTATACAACCCACCATTGCCATCTACCAGAAACAAAAAATTAAACAGTGTAAAAACAAAAATACATGCTAAATAAAGTACTCTTAGAAACACACATAACAATACAATTAATGTAAGAAAACTATTTAAGAAAATGTATTGCTTTTCCCTTGTAATGATCTTGGAAACAATATATATATTGTAAGTGTCTTACCCAACATTTTGACTATTTTGTGGGTAGGTGGGTTGGCATGAATCATTTGTCATAGATCATCTAAACTGGATATCTTTGCATTTTAAACTTGAAATATCTTTTATCAAATTTAGGTATTCTAATTACCAATAAGGTTTCTGTGCCCAAGTGATTAAGGCCTTTGATTGTAAATCACTAGTGCCTTATTACTGTGCACAATGATGGTTCAAATCCCATTGGGACTTTGGATTCTTTCAAGTGAAGCTTTCCTACTAAATACAATGGGAAGGTTTGTGGTTCTACTCGGGTGGCAACAAGTGCCTGAAATTATTCTCGAAGGGGCCCCCAATGACTTAACTGTTCAAAGGTCTTCACTCTTCTACCACCAATAAAGCTAGAAAGTAGCCCTATCTCCTTTACAGTGTGAACATGACTTAAAATCCAACACATTAAATCAATCTAATAACACATACGGTCATTGGATAATTTAAATTTGGAAATGAAATCCAACCAATCAGATCCTGGCTATTATGACTGGTTCTTAAGTATCATCACATAACATATACTGTTATTGGATAATTCAAATTTGGAAATGAAATCCAACCAATCAGATGCTGGCTATTATGACTGGTTCTACTAAGTATCATACAAATTCCTCCAAATTAACAGTAGAAACAAACCTGGTGCTAGAGCAACTTTGTGCTGGTTTGCCAGGTATATTTTTCCATCAAAACCTATACATGGCAGGAGATTCTGTTCAAAAAGTGTAACATTATTTTTCTTCAATCCAAAATAGTCATGGCTTGCAAAGAACTCTTGGGTGGGTTCCTTTGTGTGCTCACTTGTCATGATATACCTGAAAGTGAAGAATAAGACAAGTGACTGAAAACTGTCGCAAAGCAAGATTTTCTGCAAATATTACATAAATGAGAAAACAAGAGGGCCGTGATGGCCATGAAATCGCTCACCTGTATATAGACCACCAGGGCGGGTCCAATTTTAACTCAGGGGCTTTTATTTGAACAAACTTGATAGGCACTTATTAGAAGATGTTTCATGATAAATATCTAAGTTCTAGTTCTTTGGGGGTTTTTAAAAGAAGGTTTTTCAAGTTTTCACTATACACATTTAGGGGAAAACAAAGGGATAAACAATGACCCCTTGGGGCGGGGCCAATCTTGTCCCCAGGGCTTTGATTTGAACAAACTTGGTAGATACCCACTAGAAGATGTTTCATGCTGAATATCTAAGCTCTAGCTAATTGGTTTTTTTAAAAGAAGATTTTTTAAGGTTTTCTATATACAAATAAGTAAAATCACTGACCCCCCCCCCCCCTGACCGGGGCCAATTTTGACCCCAGGGCTTTTATTTGAACAAACTTGGTAGACACGGAAGATTTTTCATGCCAAATATTTAGGCTCTAGCTCATTCGGTTTTTTAAAAGTTAATTTTTTTAGGTTGACTACCAAAGGAACAATCCTGTGAAGTTTGGATGAAATTTGCTTAGTGGTTTATGAGGAGATGTCGTTTAAAGTAAAAGTTTAAGGACGGATTAACGCCGGACGAAAAGCGATCACAAAAGCTCACCATGTCACTTTGTGACAAGTGAGCTAAAAAGAAGAAGAAAAGGGCAATTGGTATATATGGTATAAGTCTAAAATCGTAAAATTACAAAGTTCCTATAGTTTGCACCAGCGTATAGTTAATGATAATCATTCTGTTACAATTTGGTTGGAAATCCTCTAGAAATGTAAGAGCTGACCAGGAAAGATATTGTTTTGGCCAAACTGAACCATTTACATTCACCATTCTGACAACAATAGTTTTAATAACTATACATCTATAGTTTATGATCTGTAAATGTGTACTTGTAAAATGCCCCTCTGTATTAGTGTTATTTTTCAATATCACATTTGATATTTCAATGCTATTGAAGAAATAGAACAAAAGTTCTACTGTGATCTTTATAAATGTTTTTTTTTTAAATCTTATCTTACAATAATCAATCACACTCTATTGAAAACAGATTACTTTATCCAAAAAAGCTAAAACTGGCATTAAGTACTTCCTAGTTATATATTAATTGTATTGAACAAATATTAACATTCTTCCTGGTCTTATAGTAGTTCAATATAGATTGACTGCTATAAATTCAAGCAATATATGAGCCGTGTCATGACAAAACCAACATAGTGTATTTGCGACCAACATGGATCCAAATCAGCCTGTGCCTCCGTGCAGTCTGATCAGGATCCATGCTGTTCGCAATCAGTTTCCCTACTTGTAATAGGGTTTGTAAGCGAACAGCATGGATCCCTCATCCCACCCCACTATTTTGTTTGTGAGGCTATTACTAAGTAAAAGTAAATGTTTTTCTTCTGTAAATATCTTTAATATATATTATACATTTAAATTTTTATTTTTGTTCGATAAATTGCCTGAATTATATTGCCAAATAGGTCCCAGCAGAAATACAATCTGTATTGCATACAAGTTTTCATGCAATATTTGCTGAAATTTAATAAAAAAAGTTAAACAATATCCTTCTCTTATATTCTTATAAAAAAAACACCTATTTTAATAAACTGTGGGTGAAACCCTGTTTACCACATCATGTGATCTCTACTCAGCAAGGCAAACAAACTCATTATAAAATTGAGAATTTTGGTGATAAGGCATAGCATGTATTCTTGGGAAAACAACCCTATAAGAATACAACTTGTTAAAATCATGATAAATATGACAAGTTAGAAAAAGAAATGTGCAGGTTATCGATTACCAATAAGGATTGGAAAAAAAAATACATTTCAATAGTTAACCAGGTGAATTTCTAAAATGGACTTGTCCAGATTCCATTCTTTGTTCATGGTCAATTTTGAGATCTATCTAAATACAAAGTTTCCTGTTGATATCTCTTATAGTTTTAGAGTTATGTCCTGGACAAAGATCAAAGTGTAGAAATGAACAAAGGGCAATAACTCCAAATTAGGCAACACAGAGTTATGTTTCTTTAGCACCGCACTTCTACTCAATGAGATCTATGTACCTACAAAGTTTCATATTGATATCTCTTAATGTTTTAGAGTTATGTCCTGGACAAAGTTCAAAGTGTAAAATTGAACAAAGGGCAATAAGTCTAAAATTAGGCAAAACAGAGTTATGGTTTTTTTGCACTGCACCTCTACTCAATGAGATCTATCTACCCACAAAGTTTCATGTTGATAACTGTTGTTGTGTCAAAGTTATGTCCCAGCAAGAATAGTGGAAGGAAGGACGGACGGACGGATGGACAGAAAAAGCGTCGACTAAATGCTCACCCTTCGGGGAGCATAAAAATTAATGTTAAGTAAGGCAAATGTATAGAGCTTGGTCAGACCGCAATCAATGGATGTATAGGCTGACCATGCAATAAACTTGTGAAAAATACATGTCCTTTAAGTTCCAGCAAAGTTAAGGGTTTAACGGTATTTGACTTTCTTTGCATAAAATATTGACAGAATATAGGCTTTCAATGTTTAAAGACCATACAAATGTAAAATAATCTTGTAAATTCTCAAAAAAAAAGAGTTCCTCTAGCAAGCTAAATTTAAGGTATACATCTATATGACAACATTAAAATTTTTATAAGTGTGCATTATAATTTATTATTAAAAAAGAAGAATATTTTAAGTATAATAACATCAGATCATTGCTAATTTTTATGAAAATTTTGAAAATGTGTTGAAAAGTTAAACATTGTGAAGTGAACAAAGAAAGCAATTTACACACTGCGAACACCAATTATCAAAAAGAGGTCAAATATGCAAACATAGCCCTTACTGCATCAGTTATGCAGTGGAAATATGGTGTTAAATCTTACACAAGAGCGATCAGTGATCACATGTGTGGCCTCATAATGGCCAATTTCATGTTGGGACAAGTTTTGTGACAGACGGACAGACAGACGGACAGTGCACAAATAGACTTGGTACTGATCATTCCTGTAAAGTTTGGATGAAATTGCACCAGTAGTGGGGACAAGCTTTTGTGTATCTGGCAACACACTGAAAAAAACACCTTTTATCAAAGGGCCATAACTCCCCCAAAAATCATTCAACCGGAAAACCCGTGCAATATGCGCAAGGACTTGAGCTACAGATCAATCCTGTAAAGTTTCATTGAAATTGCATTAGTGGTATAAGAGAAGTAGTCCGGACAAACTTTAAAAATAAAAATTATTAAAGGGCCATAACTCTGACAAAAATCACTGAACCGGAAAATGCTGACAATATGCACAACTAGACTTGGTACTGATCATTCCTGTAAAGTTTGGATGAAATTGCACCAGTAGTTAATGAGGAGTAGTCAGGACAAGTTTTGTGACGGACAGACAGACAGACAGACGGACGTACCAAAATTTGATGTTTATGAGGCAAATGAGCTCATAAACACCACCTGGACCAACGTCCATAAGCAAAATAAGCACATAAAAACAAAAAAATAGCTCTTAATTTGAATGTTATGCGTTTATGTTCTTTATTTAACTACGGAATGAAGCTCATAATAATCAAATGTTGGCTCGGACAGACAGACGACGGAGAAGTGATCCCTATATGTCGCCACTACTCCGTAGAGGCGACACAAAAATCAGTCATTAATTGCACATAACATGTCAATTATTACACGAAACTTGAAACTTTTTTAAATTCTTTGTACATTTTTCACAAGTTTGATTTTTCTTGAAAATTTGGGCTCATATGGAGGAATGCAGCTTTAACAGGTGTAGATAAATTTTCCAAAATTTTTACAGGTACCATGCTGAAATTTTCCCAATTTAAATACCAGGAAAAAGACATATTATTAAGTAGTTACTAAAAAAATGCCTTTAAATACAACTGTTGAATGTTTACTTACCATGGAACTTCGCAATCTTTATTTGTTAATTCTTTAGCATTCTGTTGAACTTTAAGAATTCTTTCTGCCTGCAGTTGGTACAGAGTTTTACCAGATGGCAAGCCAACATTGTACATGCCTTTAGGGTAGTTCACGCCAAGTCTTGTACCCTGACCACCAGCTAGAAGTAGTACTGCCACACTGTTGCTGCCAATTGCTTGTAGACCTGAAAGCATTAAATATATTGTTGTTAAGTTCTACCTTAATTGGATTTTTTTAAAATTTCAAAATGCTAAAATTCAATAGAATCCAAAAACCTTTTTTCATGGCACTTTGAGAGTGACATAAGGAGAATTACCTCAACTGAGAAATACCTCAAAATACAAAACTTTATGTAATTAAGTAAATGGGAAAAAAAATATTATCATATTTCATGACTTTTTTAAGGCTCAGTGTATCCTCTTTAATAGTGCTGTGGGTACTGTGGATAGATTACACAGGTTCAACAGTAAAATGGTTCAACAGTTTATTAACCCAAAGGGTGGCTTGGATTTTTAATATATTACTAAGATTTAACAAAGTTAGAAGACTGCAGGAAGAACAGAAAATTTAAAAATACTAAACAAGAGCTGTCTGTAGGACAGCAACGCTCGACTATTCTTAGTGCTTGATAGTAAAAAAAAATGCTTGATAGAGTTACCTCCTCCTGTTTACAGGTTGGGGTCATGATGGTGAACAAGTGTGCAAAGTTTCAAAGCCATATGTCAATGGACTTTGAAAATATTTGAACTATTACAAAAACTTTAACGTAAATTCTAAGTCGAAAAAGGGGCATAATTCTGTCAAAATGCTTGTTAGAGTTACCTCCTCCTGTTTACAGGTTGGGGTCATGATGGTGAACAAGTGTGTAAAGTTTCAAAGCCATATGTCAATGGACTTTGTAAATATTTGAACTATTACAAAAACTTTAACGTAAATTCTAAGTCGAAAAAGGGGCATAATTCTGTCAAAATGCTTGATAGAGTTACCTCCTCCATTTTCCAGGTTGGGGTCATGATGGTGAACAAGTGTGTAAAGTTTCAAAGCCATATGTCAATGGACTTTGAAAATATTTGAACTATTACAAAAACTTTAACGTAAATTCTAAGTCGAAAAAGGGGCATAATTCTGTCAAAATGCTTGATAGAGTTACCTCCTCCTGTTTACAGGTTGGGGTCATGATGTTGAACAAGTGTGCAAAGTTTCAAAGCCATATGTCAATGGACTTTGAAAATATTTGAACTATTACAAAAACTTTAACGTAAATTCTAAGTCGAAAAAGGGGCATAATTCTGTCAAAATGCTTGATAGAGTTACCTCCTCCTGTTTACAGGTATGGGTCATGATGGTGAACAAGTGTGCAAAGTTTCAAAGCCATATGTCTCTGGACTTTGAAAATATTTGAACTATTACAAAAACTTTAACATAAGTGGTTACGCCGACGCCGACGCTCGGGTGACTGCAATAGCTCTACTTATTCTTATCTAATAGTCGAGCTAAAAAAGTACAGAGTTTTATCAAAACAATAGGAGACAATTAAAATATGGGACAAAGCTATAAGTTATACTTCTTGAACAAGTTTTGTTATATTGCTACTATCTTTCTACCGGTATTTTCTATAATCAACCACATATAAATATATAGTTTTGAAGATACACTCTTGACATAGAATGCAGTGATTTTTCCCACTATATTGTTCAGCCCACTCAGGCTGTTACTCCTTGCCCAAAATAGGTATATTTTCCTTTAAAAATCTGCCCTGTGCACATTCTTCACAAGAACCATGACTTAACAGCAACTGACTTAACAGTATATCAGCTGGTTGATAAATTTAATTGACTGAAAGCTGTCCCTATATATCTAAGCCTCTGCTATGCTCCATGTATGTTTAATTGAATTGAAATTGAAAATGTTATAAAAACATGTTATGAATAAATTTTATTTTCAGGTATCAGAATTTGATTTCAGGTTTTCCTCCTTTTAAGTCACGCTATATTTTTCCCCTACAGAAAGACACAGATTGTTTGAAAATTGGAAAAAATCAATGGAGTGGAATGCAATATAGATTGTACATGTACTCCAGCTCATATTTCATTTAGAAAGGGTATTCAATGTACTACAATCAAGGACAAATATTCAAGTAGTCCTTTAACTTAAATAGATTGAACAAGTGAAAAAAGATCAGATGATCTGACAATTAATCCCTGCTGATTAATCAAGTTCAAAGTTACAATAAAATTTTTCGAAAAAATAAAAAAGCAAGATAAGAATTTAACTTCCTCTTCCTTAACCCAATTACAACCTTGCACCCTGTTTCATTGAATTACTGGTAATCAGATATATATTTAGTCAATTATATCAGTTTGCAATTGTTAACATTTACTATGGACTGACGGTTTTTGATCAGATAATTATACTGTACACCTGCTATCCACATTTCAATATTACTATCTAATTTTTCAAATACTATTGTTAGTATAACGTGGATAAGATATGTAAAGTGCACTCTATTGCCACTTGATTATCAGATATAATGATAGTAATATAATAAAATAAATAAATTCATATCAGTATTTATTAAATGCACGTGCAGGAAACAAAATGTACAAAAATACTTTATCAAATTAATCAAATTGTTACATTTTTCTATATGACTATACAATTTTAATTAATAATGATGCATCTAATAATTTTTAGTCGCAAAATTAAAATAGCTACTTAAGATCAAATGGCATCTCTCTAGAGCTTTATTGGTGGAACTCATAGGCCCTCTGACCCAATTTTTCAGGGACACTGGCAATAAGCTTTTAAGATTAACAGCTTTCTCATATAAAAGAATCCAATGTCCCCCACAGGCTTTGAACCCAAGGTAGTGAGGCTAAGGGGCAAAAAAATTAAGATCTAATTAAATCAAGACTTACATCCTCTCCAAAATCTTCATCATAAAACAGTTAAGTTTACATATTGTACACAGTAAACTGATTTTTCTATCAAATTTGGAAAACATATAGCAAGAAGTTTCTCAAGTAAATATTTCAAATGAAAAAAGCATCTATTACCCGTACATCTTTTGGATATATTTCCAAGGATGTCATCAACTTAATAGAATATTTCTTACCATACTGTTAAATCTATTTAAATTCTAAAAGCAAAGTCATAGAAACTGCAACCTATTGGACATGTTTAGCCAAAAGATACTCTCATTGAAAAACAGACCTAAAGGACTAAAGTTGAAATTTCACTAATATGCCAAATAACTGCTTCTGATTTTTTCTGACCCAAAAGACTGTTTCCAAACACTTTTCATTTTAAATATTTAACATAGTCAAAAGGGGATATTAGAAAATAAACATACCTATTGAATTATACTTTTCTAATGTTTCTGCATCCGTTCGTGAGACACTACCGCATACCTCTGCTGGTAATGGTTCAAGTAGGTCATCCACTTTGTCTGCTGCATTTTTAGATAACTGCATTGCAGTCTCAAAAAATTGATTGATTTCAGCAAAGTTCATATGATCAAGTTCTTTATATAATGATTGTTTCTCACTATCCGTGAGAGTGTCCCAGAACGCCAACAGGTGACCCTGACCCGCAGAGTCAAGTCGTGACCGTAGGCCATCTATATCCATGTTAAATAACTTAAACGACTAAAGTGTTTCCTTGCTCCAAAAGATATTTTATCAGCCTGTCTGAAGAAAAAAAAAAAAGAAAAAATTTTGAATAAACTCTGTATAATAATTAGCTAAAACATAACCTTAAGCACAAAGTCATGATCATAAAAAATATAACTCACAAAAATGTTAGATGCAGATCTTAGTTAATTATCATAAAATTTAAATGAAATCATTTACAATGTTTTCACTAAAAAATAAATATTCATACAATAATTACTCTCATCAATTCTCCTTTAAGTAGTCTCAAACTGTTGTATCATTTTAATGCATATGAACAAAACATTTAAAGGAACTCCATTAAGGTTTTTTTTCTGGCATGATAAGACTGGAAATATTTTCCTGTGCTTTGTGTACCATTTCTGCAGAAAATAATATACACAAAATAAAATTGAAAATTAATAGTTTGTGCAATTCTTAGCTCAATTTGAGTGAAAAGCTTTGCAAAGTATATATTTTTTGGGCCACTTTGCACAAGAAAACAAATCTGGTAAAAATATCTCCAGTTCCATCATGTCAAAAAGCCTTAGTGTTCATCAATATGAGCAGCGTCATGACAAAACTAACATAATGGGTTTGCGACCAGCATGGATCCAGACCAGCCTGCGCATCTGCGCAGTCTGATCAGGATCCATGCTGTTTGCTACAAACCCTATAACAAGTAGAAAAACTGATAGCAAACAGCATGGATCCTGATCAGACTGCGCGGATGCGCATGCTGGTCTGGATCCATGCTGGTCGAAAACCCATTATGTTGGTTTTGTTGTGACGCGGCTCAATTATATTTATCAAGTTGTAACTTGTGTGCCGGTGATAAATGAAACTAGAAATGTGTCCATAGGACACGGATGCCCCCACACGCCACTGTTCTGTCAATCTTATGACACTAGGTCAAATATTTTTTGGACTACATGTGCCACAAGTTGAAAACTAAAAATCAACAAAGGGCCATAATTCTGTTAAATATGGTCGCAGCAAACAATCCTTCCTTTACTACCATATACACATTAAGGTTGTTCATCCCTGGAAGTTTAAGCAAAATCTGCCATCCGGTTTAAGAGGAGTTGCGTTCACAAAATTTCTACATAGTATATAGTGAAAAAATCAACAAAGGGCCATAATTCTGTTAAATTTGGTCGCAGCAAAAATTCCTTCCTTTACTACCATCTAAACATAAAGGTTGTTCATCCCTGGAAGTTTAAGCAAAATCTGCCATCCGGTTTAAGAGGAGCTGCGTTCACAAAATTTCTACATAGTATATAGTGAAAAAATCAACAAAGGGCCATAATTCTGTTAAATTTGGTTGCAGCAAAAATTCCTTCCATTACTACCATCTACACATTAAGGTTGTTCATCCCTGCAAGTTGAAGCAAAATCTGCCATCTGGTTTAAGACGAGTTGCGTTCACAAGATTTCGGGACCTACGGACGGACAAGTGCAAAGCTATATGCTCCCACTTTGTGGGGGCATAAAAACTCACATTTGCCGAGTTTCGCAGTATCTCTATATCAGTCTTTATAGTAAATTTAAATTATCTCAACAACCGGTTGGTTATATTATTTATGAGCTACAAGAAGATTTGACAGGTTTTATAGTCCTATATAACCATCTATATATGGTCAAATAACACCTGTCAAGAATTTTCACAACAAAGTTACAATATAGCAAACTTCCTTTATAAAAGAATCAAATGAAATTTCCACATAAATTAACAACATTAAGTATATAGTATGCATAAATGTCGCAATTTTTCCAATGAAAAGTGATAATACAACATTTAACATGCAGTATTATAAATATACAAGTAATTTGACACAGGCTTGAAAAGAGTTTTTTTCCCCCAGAAGTTTTTAATGAATAAATGCCAGTGTCTATTCTAGGAGGGGGGATTGAGGGATTCACTCATATTTTTGAGAATTCCCACCTATTTTTTTCAGAGGCAGGGCAATAATTTTACATAGAGAAAGAAGGAAAAAGATCAACAACTGTAAAGAATTCTCACTTTTCAATAAAAATCCCCCCTGCTTTTGGAATCCTCAAATAGACACTGAATGCAGCTGTAATTTATATTTTCCATGAAAAGTAGTTTCAATAGCGTCAGATATTTTAAATATCATCACTAAAAATTTTGAAGAATGGTGGTCCGTTTTACCTGGTTGAAACCTTATCCCTACCTACTTCAAATACTCAAGTTTCCGTTCAATGTCAACACATTTTTACAACTATAATAAAATGTTTAAACATTAATACAAAAGCCTGAACAATTAAAATATACTGTTTGTATAAATCATTGAAATATGCATATTTTTTCAAAATCTGTATCTTTAATATTTTTACATTAAAGCAGTACAGAAGTTCAAATACCTGACAATGAGCATCCGAAAGTTACTGCAATGTTTAAGTATGGCAAAAAGAAAATCAACAAAACATAAACCAGGTTTTATTAACCTTTAAAGAGTACAATAAATATACACCTACACTTAATAAGGCATATATACCAGCAAAACTTTAACAGCTGGGTTCTTACGCCGTTATCATTTAATAAAATTTTATTAGGGCTTATTACCCAATAAATCTAGGAAGTTCTGTCATTTTTTAAGTGGCTTGCTTTCTATCTAAATTTAAATGCAAAGGTAGACAAAAAATGAAAATAAGTTGTCATGTGCAGTAATCTGTAAATTAAATTATAAAATGTACATATAGACAGGTCCTATAATGCCAACCTCAGGCAATTCTTGCTTTGCTGTATTTTGGCCAAAACATCTAATAGTTCAATACTTAGATTACATTTTTTGACATTTTAGAGTTTTAAATAAATAAAAGTGCCCATTAAATGAGGAATTATTCAAAATGCCCATTCATAAAGATAATCTCCAAATATACATGCATCAAATACACAAACAATTTCAGTAACTTGGCCTTACATACTGTACCTATATACAGTATACAATAATTGCACATCCAAGGAGCAACTGAATCTTTTAGTTGTTAGGATGGTAATTTTGAAAACTAAGTGTAGATTAACATGACAAATTAACTTATCAGCTTGTTATCTTGTAAGTTGTATATATCATCATGTTATGAAAGTCAAGTCAACTTCCTTCATTGACAAAGTGTCAACAATATAAATGTCTGCAGACTAAAGTTAACACATCCCTTATAAACATTGTCTTGTAGATACACCCTTTTCTGTTCAAATTTTTTTAAAGAAATGTAGGCCTGCACAGGCTTACGTTGATCCATAGTCTGTAGCTACCAAAGAAGAGGATGATCACAAACAAGTGGTTATTACATACCGCAAAGCAAGATTTGATGAAGGTTAGCCAAGGACCAGTCTACATATAATTATTGTAATTAAAATAGGTAACTTTGATTTCCTATATTGATTATAGATATGCGGTGGCGTGGTCGAGTGGTTAACTTATCAGACTATAGTAATCAAAAGATTTAGTCAAGTGGGTTAAAGACCCATTAGCCAGGCAGTCCATTGTGTTAAAAGAGAAACTTTACACTAATTGCTCAGTACTGGTTGGTTCCAGGAATGGATTTGAGAGCGCGCCTTTAAGCTTATAGCTAAGCTTCCTACAGAATCAAACTAAAATATATCATGTATAAACTAAGTCGCCATAAATTTGCATTTGTTAAAGCTTCTCAAAAATGTATCTAATATTTTTCAAAAATCATAGATCTAAAATATTCCTTAGACTGTACAGACAGGCAGTTACTTTGAGGTTGGGTTGTACATGTAAGTATTTTGTTGGCATATTTGCAATAGTTTCTTTGACAGCAAATGATGACGAAATTGTCCATGAAAATATTGTATAATATTTAGCAGCCATCTGACTCTCACGATAATATTCATTTCAATTTCAGGTGACAGGTAAATATATAAACTGTCATTTTTTGACATCATAACACTTTTATTTGTGACACACTTAATATTTCTAAAATGTAGCATTATGTAAAATATTGGCAATAAATAAAAAAAAATGTAGGCTGTTTGTATTTTTTTTTTTTGCTTGAACTTTGATTTATTTCAAAAATCTATTATAATCAAAATTTTAACATAACTTATCTTATATAAAAAATGGGCTTTTTCATTCTGATAAATGGTGATTCAATCTGAACTTTCAACATGTTCTCTTATAAATAGAGAAAAATTCTATCCAGGAAAATTACATTTTCATATTTTGTTATATACAGTGGGATATAATCATGCATAATAATCATGCAATATGTTTAAATTATACGTCATTTAGATATACAAAAATATACTTGTAAAGATAATTAGATTTGTCTTATAAATAATAAATATTCAAATAAAAATTATATTTAGATACCGGTGATTTCACAAAGTTAACCTATTTTAAACCGTTGCCCGAGGATCTGTGGTATCAGGCTACATTACGTTTATCAGAAAATATTTTTAATATAAAAATCATTAATGAAAAGGATTTTTATTCATTTAGTAAGTTAACAGTAATCCCCAAATATGCAAGAATGGAAGGATAAATGGGTCAAAAATTAAATCTTCATATTAAGTTGTGAAAAACAATTAAAATTCAAACTAGATCTAAATGAACAGGCAATATGTCGGTATACTGTATGGGATTATAACACCATTTAATTGATTGTGTAAAAATCAATTAAGGGTCTAATTAGTAGGCAAATATGAAGATTTCATAGTTTTCTTACCATGAATATATTCATTATTCACAAAATTAAATTTATTGGCATATGCTATGCGAATTAGTATGACATTTAAAAAAGAAGCATCGACATCTGTTGCTTTTATGAGCAGTCGCAGAAAACGTAAATACCGTGATAATCATAGAATCCGTGATATTATCATAATTATGTACGAAAACAATTAAGGACGAAACAGCATAAACACCGGTCGTTATTTGCAAATACCAAATCCAACTGATCCATGTATTACATTTCAATGGTTTAGAAATTGTTAAATCTTACCAAAATTCGTCGAAGCGATAAATGTTATCCCTCCTGGTCTACTTTTG